ACTCTTCGTATCGGCCAAAAAATGAATTTTCCTGGAGTAAACAACAATTTTCCCATACTTACCAATGGTTAATGAATCCATTTTTACATTCAAAGTTAGTCCCTGCTTTTTTCCTAAAAAGTTTGGTTTTTAGTTCAAATCTCTTAAGAGATTTTAAGAGTATAGCCATCAATGGAGGTCACGTGGTCCAAAGACAAGCTCAAATATCAGAATAATAGCTTTAACTGCCGTTTTTTGTGGTAAAACAGAATATATTATATTTCTATGAGTTATTCACAATGTTTTTATTGTGAAATATAGATCTCATACAAAGAGTTATTATCCCTTTAAACAAAGTCATTTATGGTTTTTGGAGGCTTTAAAGCTCCAAGTGTGATGCATAAACAAAAAGGGCACAGGCACCCTGTTAAATTTTTCACAGGTTTTAAGAAAACCTACTCAAGGTTTATGATGGTAAATATGTGTGGTCTGTATTTGCAACACCTACAATTGTGTTCAGAACATGATGCCCTGGTGCCTACAGAGATTAAAACAAATGTGCCGAGATAAATGCACACATTTAATTGAATTCACATAGTGCAACAAATACTACAATGTACATGTGCATGTGTGTGTGTGTGCATGCATGCGAGCAAGAGAGAGAGTTGCTCCTGGCCATACTCCTCTCACCAATGCTTAATACACTTCCCAAGAACTTCATCAACACATTTCAAACAAAACCAGTTGCTAGTGTAGACCACCCCACAAGTCTTTCTATAGAAAAGTTTCAGACTCCCGTCACTATAATTAACCTGACAACAGGTTAAGAGGAACTCAAGATCCAGTACTATATATGAAGGTGTATCGAGTCCCAGCTAGAACCACTATTGTAATGTGTGATCCACAAAGTCTAGGAATGGACCCCAGTCCAGCTGCCTCCTGCCCTACAGGTAAAACCCATCAATTAGAAGGGCCACTCATTAACTAACAGACTATTTTTAACACAGAACCAGGCCTTGCTTTTTGTACACAACAAAAACAGCTCAGTTACCTGTCTGTGTACAAGATGGATCCTCTCTTCTTTAACAGATGTATTTCCCTATATTTTTTGCTATTGTTAGGTGTGCACTGGAATCTAATCTACTAATGGGGCATTCCGTGGTATTCGTTTTGCATTACGGATGGAATTTTGACACTTTAAAAATAAATTCTACAAGAACTATAATACATAAATTGTTCAAATTTGGCAGGAATATTGATTAGTGCAAGCCTAAACTTCTGACCAAAAAACTTGAAATAACATCTATTAGTTTTTGAGAAATATTGGTTATTGATCACCATTACGGACGGAAAAAAATGGACAAGAATTTTTATTAATCAACTTCAACTTCAAAACTCTGCTCTGTTTGTGGCTTTTTAAAGATAAAACTGCATTGGCATGACAATTTCATTATTCTAGTTACTAGAAATGTAAAGGGTTATTAAAAAAATTTTTTTTTGTTAGGAAATTTTTGAAGTTTAAAAAATCATGTCAGATTACGGACGGAAAATTACGGACGGAAAATTTGTCCACAGTGCAAAACTTACACAGAAGCCATTAAAAAAGTACAATTAATTATTTATTCATGGTAAAATTTAACTTTTTACTAAATATGTACATAATAGGAAGTTATTTTTGATGTCAACTCAAATATTTTTGTGAGCTATTTCAAATTACAAAAATCAACTACAGTCTACACTTTCATGAAGAAGAGATCCCTTGTGTTCTAATATTGTCATTGTTTAAAATTCTGTGTTGAATTCTAATTCAGAATAGCTACATTTAAAAGTTC